GTTATATACTTATTCGTTTCACTTAATCGCATATAAATCATTTATTGTCTAATAACTCGCAACGAAAACACCAACCACCGTTTCCAATACAAATCATTTATTTCGTTAACCCTTGCTATGAGCTGTTGTTCGCTTGGCTGCGTTACAGAATGCGTACACACCACGCACTGACTGTCCTTCACAAACTCTCCGGCTATACCCATTTACAAACTTCTCTTATTTCCTCTACTTCTGCTATTTTCTTTTCAACCACCTTTTATATATTTCAATAAATTCTTTCGTTCCATATTTTGAACTATTTCATTTTTATAAATATATTACCGAATGTGTAAATGCCCAGAATTTACCGTACATCAGAAACCACTATTTTCTAATGTCTTATCCCAACTACTATCTCTTCTTTGTTACCAATTTTGTACATTTTACACTGATCTATGTTTTTTTCATTAATCATAATTATTTCTAAGCACATACCCTTTAATACTCCAATTAACTTATTACAACTGTTCCATTTTGTGCCTTCTCTGATGTATTACTTTCTTGACCAAACTTCTATATCATTTAAAATATTCTTTGTTTTATATTTGCGATTTACTTGGACCTGACGCAGCAAGCTGAAAACAGCCTCGAATGAAATCTGCTCATCTCACATTTCCTTTTATACTATTGTGCAATGCACAATCTGCGCATGTCAAATTCCCCGCCCTATGAACTCATTTCCTCACCTGAATTGCTTCTCTAACACATTTTGCGTTGACTCGTTAAACGACAATAAATTCATCTTTCAAGTTACGTATTGAAAGACTGATTCCAAAAGACGAAATATTTATAGTATGTTTAGTCCGATTATAAACATTATGTACGACACGAAACCGCACTTCATTGCCAATAAAGCTTAACAACCTGGCGGTATGGTTGTGTAATTTTGAAATGTGATTTATTATTAAACTTGATGTTAGATTTCTATTTTTGATTACATGTCTTCATAACTTATAAACTGTAAGATGTGTTTGGCAATGCAAAAGTTGAGTCACGTACATTTACGGAATAATGGCGGGGGATCGTAATGAGTAAGTTCAATCCGACGGAAATTAAAATTAAAAATTAATTTCAGAAAAGTATCAGCTACGTTTTTAATGAATGAAAAAAAAGCAGACAAGAAACATAAAAAGAAAAATGTCGGAAACTCAATCAAAATGAGTTTCCGTGCAGCTTTCCAAACAAATGGTTCGGCAATAATTATCTTAAGGGGGATGCAACGAAGTTTTTGCCTGTCACTTCGCCAAATACGCTTTTATTACTGTGAATCTGTATCCATGTATTATATGTGTTATTTTCAAAGTTCTTGAAATTTTAAAAGAAACTTTTACGATCTTCAAGCTGCACAACAAAAACTTCTCCCAAATCCAGGTCCGCCTCCATGTTGGCTACTGCCCCAAATCGTGCTCTCTGATGGGTGACCTGACGTGTCGAGAGATGCTGTACCTGATTGGTCGGTTGCGAGGAGTCACAGAAACTGATCTGGAGCATGTAATTGATGACGTCATAGAATGTTGCCTTCTCACCAGTCAGGCCGATGACGTCATAGATAGTTGCAGGTGAGTTGTATGGTGTGCAAATGTTTTAGGACAAATACAAGGGGCGTTTCACTTTCCCATTAAAAAGGAAGACGTCAAGTGACACATTTGTCTCGATTTTATTTTTTAATCTTGCTTTTTCAGTCGCGCTCGATGTGAAACATTGCCGCTTGAACTGAGAATTGATGCCTTCTAATCATGGTGCGCAACTGCTAAATAATATATTTGTTTTGGTAATTAGTTGCCGACTTGAACCGTATGTACACCATACCTATTCTTGGCCTTACCAGGTCATCGTCTACGAAGACAGAATTTTCAATGCGCCTTTTCCCTAATTTTCTGACAGTGCTGGGACAAAGAGAAAATTAAGCACAGCAATAGCGTTGATTGGAAAACCAACCATCATATTCCTGGATGACCCGACAACAAGTGTTGATCCATTGTCCAGGAGAAAGATATGGTCCGTTCTGCAAGAAATACGTCAACAAGGCACAACGCTGGTGCTGACCACCAACAGGTTTGTGTAGATTTTCCCTTGCCCCCGATCTAGACCATTCATGTCTTGTATGCAGTTTGCAGTGACACGGTCATACCAGAGCAAAAAGAGATTTGACTTTCTTCATAAATCACAACCAAAGTTTCTGATAACTACTACAAAGATATCTGGTACCCAGAAAGTAGAACGATAGTGTTTTTATTAATTTATTTTAAAATAGATGTATATATATTTTAGCACTGAAGAAAGTGAAATGCAGTGCACTCGAGTGACAATAATGATCGACCAGCGCTTTGTCACTATGGGCAGTCCACAGTCGCTTAAAAATGTGTACGGGGACGGCGTTAACATTGAAATACGTCTGACAGATGAAGAGGAAATTGCCACAAAGGATCTTATTTCTTTTATAAGTTCGCGCCTGCCTGGAGGATATGTGACCAAAGAAAACAACTTCACGATAACTTTTAAAGTCTTAAACGAACATATCCGTTGGGGCCAACTCTTTCAAACACTTGAGGAGGCTAGGACCCGCTTTACGATTGCAGATTATAGCATCCAGCAGTGTACTTTGGAGGCCGCTTTTCTCCATTTGTCACGTTCCTTTGTTGCACCTACAAGCGTTGACCACAGCCAAGCAACACGTAGCTTTGTGTTGTAAAGCGCTTTTAAGTCAGACATATGAGAGAGTCTACATTGGAGCAATCACTAATCAGTCACACTCGGGTACTTTATTTAATAATTTAAAACGTTTTGAACCCAAACCTTCTGCGTTTTGTTTTCACCAAAAAGAGCACAACTGTCAAGAGAGAGGGAATCATGAATAGTAAAGCACAAGCGATTTGTTTGATGGTCTGTTGATCGTAATATTCTTAACGGTTTTAGTTTCATGTGTAAGTTAATCCATTAAGATGATTTGCATCGTTGGAATATCAAGATTTGTTATACATGAAGGAACACGCATGCATTAAATACCCTGTACCCACAGATATTCCCATGTTAATGCCGTCTGCCATATCTGAGAAACGATCAACTCTCTGAAACACAAACATAACAAAGTCAGATATATGCCAATGTTTTTTATTTGATCAGTTCATGATTTTTTTTTACATTTGATTGGTCTATTGAATAATTAGGAACTATTCGGCATATTCTTCAAATGGTTGTTTTTTAAACAACTCAAACGAATTTCTGCGTCACACATAGACCTGATTATTTTATTGATACATTTAAGCAGATTTTTTCTCTTGGTTTAATAGTATATAAAAACTGTCAAAACATTTGAAACAATGAGAGTTTTTTCTCTAAAAACGAATTGTACATCCTCCTGGGTTGCTAAATTGTAGTCAACGTAATTCTTGTCCACATCGCCGAAAAAATCCAGATAATTTTCTGCGTCGTGTGTCTTGATGCATTGCGTATACGCTTTCAACACTATTTTATATAGATTCAGTAAAATGAACCCTTTCCTTACATACAGATGACAAGAGTGAAACAAGCTGTATGTTCATTATCAATCAATGATTCGTATTCTATTACTGAAATGAATAACGCATCTTTTGGAGTTGCTAAAACGTAATCAACATAATCTTCATCCGTGTCGCCGAAAGTCTATCAGCAGTCCAGATGAATTTCTGCATCATGTGTTTTGATGCATTGCGTATACGCTATCATAGCTATTTAATAAAGATTCAGGTAAATGTAACCTCTACTCATATACAAGTGACAAGTGTGAATGGATATAAAGCTGTATGTTCATTATCAATTAATGATTCGTATTCTATTCCAGAAATGAATTACACGTCAATAGGAGTTGCTAAAACGTAATCAACATAATCTTCATCCACGTCGCCGAAAGTCTATCAGCAGTCCAGATAAATTTCTGCATCATGTGTTTTGAAACATTGTGTATAGTGAGGCATTGCGTCATTGCTATTTAATATCTTCGTTTATATATATATATAAGAGGCAGATATGTGCCAAGGCATACGCAGCAGTGCTAAATATAACAAAGGGCTAATTCATGACCACGGGCTTTCTTTCTGTTTTAAAGCTGAGTCAGATATCCTATATTATAATCAAAATTACCGGCTAAAACGTCAATATTTTTGAAAACTATAACAAAGGACCTGTTCATGGGCTTTATTTTGCTTTAAAGCCGAGTTATGAACCCTTTATTATAACCGTGTTTTAATTGTCAATTTTTTCATGTTATTAAGTTTATATGTTACTGAAATAACTACTGGTGTGATCAAGAATAAAAAAACATGTTTTAGGTACCTTAAAAAGTAAATCCGTACAAACGAAAATGTTAAGTGTCTGTGCGTGCCGGTAAATAGGAAAATAAATCGCGTTTCAATTTAAATATTCATTTCATCTTTGTCGAACTTTTCTGTCTTTGCTTCCACAAACTGATCCTTTGTTATGCTTTTTTTCTGTTCCTGTTGTAGTTTCAGAGCACTTGAATCTTCTTCGTTTTTACTTCAGCCTCCTCCCAGCTTCTACCACGAATGTTCTTCGTTTTCACTTCCGCCTCCTCCCAACTTCTATCATAAGGAAACTAAAATAGAATTATTATTATTATTATTAGTGTGAGTAGTAGAGGTGTTTCCAACAGAACTGTCAAAAATGAAATCGTAGACATTTAATACAATGGTGTTTCAATTTTCACCGGAATAACGAGATGGTTCAGAGAAGAAAGGTACGGGAAAATCATTTTGCCCCCAGATGCTTTATTTACAACTTGGGTGTCAGGTTGAATAAAATTATTTGAGTGGATTTTTCCCCCATATTTCAAGCATATGTGTATATATGTCCACACCTTAAGAGAAGAGACGGTGTCGCCGGCGCTGTATTTTTTAGTTAAATTTCTAAGATATATATTGAGACAAGGTGGATTTTTACATGAGACCGAAAGTTGCTATTGCCATTCTGTAGTGAAGTTAAAGCATTCAAATAAGGTTTATATGAGGCATGTTCTGGGTTTCAATGCGAACTAAAAACCTGATTGACTGGTAATTCAGCCATTTTTAACCCCTCCCCCCCCCCAAAAAAAAAAAAAAAAAAAACTCTCTGAAATTATCATTTCAACAATATTTCGGTTGATTTATTAAAGAGGACGTCTCAAACAGCCAAATAAACATTTCTACAAAGTTATCCCCAATATAAAGGCAACTTACTTTAGTTTTTGTTGTTGTACAACTCTGAGGTATGTTGCACATGCTTGGATCTGTTATTGAGTATTTGAGGTCGTATGCACAATACGTATGGCTGGCTATACTGACTGTGGGTGTGTCGTCTTTCCCGTCGTCTGTCTTGTTGGCTGTCTTGTTGGGCTTCACGACGAATGTCTCGAAGAGTGTCGCTTTGGCTGTCCCGTTGTCTGCGCCTTGTAAACAAAGAATGGTTGTTAAAGTGGCAAGAAACAAAGCAATTTCACTCTTTATACGTGCACTGTGTTATTTCTCATGTTTGGAATCTGTGTCATGCTTAAACTAGATTCGGCTAATCCGTCTTCTTTCTTTTGCAATAGCGTTTTCTCTATTTCTTGTTGTGAAGCACACGTATTTATATGAAAACGCCTATTTATGTTTTTTCATAATAAAGTTAACGGCATGCCTTCGCCTACCTTTTTTATCTACAGTGAGTAAATGACTTTTGTGAAAAAAGTTAAAATCACGTATGAATATCAAATACCGCAAACCTTGTTTGATCACGTGACTGAAGGCAAAGACATAATGTAAAAACATGATCATTTACCTATTCCGAACATCTTCTTAAATACCAGGAAGTTTGATTTTGCTTGGGTAATGTATGTGTAATTGTAGACCATCCCATCCTCTTCTTTGTCCATTTTACAGATAAAAGCGTCCATGTCCCCTCGGCCAACTCCGAGAGTAACGTAATCGTCACATGTGGCCGTTCCTTTAAAAGAAGAAAAGTAATTTAAGATTTAGCTTTCAACATGCCTTACGTTAAGAAGTTAAGTTTGGAAAAACGGTTTTGTATAATTACAATCCCTAATTGCAAAACATGTGTCTAAGTTGTAATACTTATTTACGTAGCACTAGATCGAAAAAGCTTGGGAAAATATGCTCTTGTGAAGTTTTATCCACCATTAGCCTAATTATGGCTTCAGAAAAATGTTGTGACAATAAAGATGCAGATGCGATTTCCATCAGGTTTCTCGATATCCAAGAAAAGATAATTTTATTATGTTTCGTTTAATTTTACATCATTTATTGCACATGTACCAACATATGTTTAGCAGCAAAATGAAATGGTATTTTTCTTATAATTATTATTGGTTCTAAATCGTATTTCTTTTCTATTCGCATTTGCCTCTATATGAAAAACTACGCATTCAATTAAGTACAAAGTATCTGGCCAATAGCGTATCTAGGTGGGGTACAGTGACAACTAGTAACGTGTCCTCTCCTTAAATTCGTAGGTACAATCCCTCCCCAAATGTCCCCTTCTAATCTCTCAAAATAATGACATTTACCTGGAATGCAAAGAAAGTCGGTTGCGAGACTTCTATTTCCCGGTATACTTTGCTCCGTGCAATTTCCGTCCTCTCTTATTACGTATTCCTTTAACTAAAATGTATGAAATAAATCACAGAATTAAAAAAAACAAAGAATTAATAATCAAAATAAGCAAAAGAGATTTAGTAGTGAAGAAATGCTAGGGCGTTGTCTTTACTTTAATCTTGAGTGAACTTGGTGTTGTTATCGAGGCCATTGACATGGGTCTACTTTTCTCAATGGTAACAAACACGTCATTAACAAACAAACAATGATTTAATATGGATTACTCATACCGGTAGGTTTAAAGGAGTTCAATAAGTTGTAAAAACTTACATTTGGTAAAATAGCTTTCATCTCGCTTTCTTGTAAAATAGTTATCTTGATATTCGCGCAATTTAACACTAATTAAGACTTTAAGAGCAAAAGCTTTGCTGTTTTATTCCCTACCCCACACTGCTGCACAGAGGGTTGCAAAGCGTTCATCGTCAGTTTTGCTGTTTTGTAACTCGGTGTGAGACAGTGATCGGTTTCCCGCGTAACTTTACACCTATGATCACTACAATTGACAGGGTCGACGAGTAGGCTGTGAAAAATATTCGGTGCCAGGGTTTTTTTCCACATTTTCGTTTGAGAGATCTGAGTCCATTTTAATGCCCCTTGAAACAAAAGCATTATATTGCCTCTTTCCTGATAAAGTCTGGAGTTATCCTTCAAGACAATTTTCTCTAGCCGATAAACGGTGATTATAGCTGATCAGATAACTGATAAGGCAGATCTGTTTAAAAACAACATTACAATTTTCATCCCAAAAACGATGTTTTTACGTCATTAGTTCGCATTAGCAAATTTATCCCGGTATATTTTTGATGTGACAGCATTATTGCATGATATAACAATGCTTATTTTCGCAATATATAAGCCACTATGGAAATAAATCACAACGTAACGAAATCCCTTTATCTTAACCTTTAAATATAAATAAAACTACACGACATCCCCGCACACAGCCGCTTTTCAAGTGGCGTTCTACTTAGTTGAAGAATTTTATATAGAGAGGCATATGACTTTAAGAAGGTTTTCAACCCCTCAGGTAAGGAAAGCAAATGATCAATGATCACGGGTTGTTGTCTAGAGTTTGAAAACGCACCTGGCAGGTAGATAGTGACAGCTCAGTCTGATATTTCAACCTGATAACTACCTCTTATATCAGCAGCATCGTCAAGTATTGCGTCACAGGTCACGTGTCCGTGTGGCACAGTAATTTCCAGAGCAAGTGAAAGGCGCAGTTTTCTATAAACTCGATATTTACGAAGAGAGCAACTAATTTTATTTTGGTATGGCAATCTATTAAAGGACAAGATATCCAAAGGTTATCTATCGCACAGGTCATTCTGTAATTGAAACACGCCCTTTTCAAGAACATTACCTGTCTCTAATCTTTACGTAACTAGGACCAATAAGTAATGCGGGGTATTTTGTATCGGGATATATATTCCTGAATATTCATCGTCAAATTCGTTTTCGGGTTCTATTTTTCTAATAAGTATCGCCACGAGCGAAAAAGAAAAGATTGACAAATGCTATATCTGACATAACTGCCTGCCCTTAGAGTTGGGAGACAAAATAATCAAGAAGAGGCATTAATTCTTATACTTACGTCATTGTAATCGTAAATGGTCTGAATTACTGAAGACGTGTCTCCTTCAACTCTGGTTTCCAAAACACACGCCGTATAATTGGCCAAGTACAAGGCAATTGTGGACGACGACTGAAAGACGAAATACATGAAATATTGAGTTTTTTTTGAGATTTTTTTTTTCTTTTTGGAACTAAAATTTTGAAAAAATATTTTTAAAAATTAAACAGCGACGTAATTCAAACTAACACGTAAGCACAAACTTGTAAATCTTTCATTGGTGTGGGTAAAACAAAAATCATCAAACGACCTACGCGCAAAATATTGACACACTTGTAATGGTTGTGACACATATTCTGCTCTCGTCTCTGGTCCTGCTGGTGCATGCATCCACAGGTAACATGTATTGATTATCGCGTAGACGAATTTTCTTTTTCATGGAAAGTTTTGTGCAAATGAAACCCTATCTTTAGTCTGTTCGCATTTGAAAAAATACTGGCCTTTTTCCATAAAGGAAAATATCAAACAACATTAATACCAATGTCTCATGTTTCTTCGTTACTATATGTACAAGAAAAAAAACTTCCTTTCTCAAGCTTTTCAAAGACTATGTATCAGCTAAATATTTTTGGATATATTCATAATGATATCATTTAGAAACTACGACAGAATAATTTCACCCATTGAGGCACTTTACGGTGCTCGAATAGCGTAGATCACTTTAATACCATGTTATAAACTTCATAACTCGGGAAACATGAAGAAAATTTGGGTTAAAAAATGGATGAGAGTGTTCACCGTGCAAAAACATTCAGACTAATGTGAATGGCGCAACAAAACCGTATTACTGCTTTAATTCGTGACAATCGAATTAAGTAGACTGTACCATTTAATTTGGAGGATTTACCCACCTGATAGCTAGAACCTTGCGTATCTACAACTATTTCGTCTGTCTTGTACTCCAATTCCCTATATTTTGGGCTGAAGCAATTCCCTGGCGTGGGCGGAGTCTTGGGGGTCTTGGGAGTCTTGGGGGTCTTGGGAGTCTTGGGGGTCTTGGGAGTCTTGGGTCCTTTGGAACCCTTGCCTAAAACTCCTGCGAAGATCATCACAAGGATGAAGACCGTCACATATCTAACCATTTTTTTCTGCAATTTCACGCAGCCGAACCGTGTACTTACTTCTGTTTTCTTGTGCTCACGTTTCCATCTTTTATACCGCAACACAACTCTGCCTGTGGCGGTTTATTTTGACGTGAACACAGCACGTGCTTCGGGCACATGACAATAACTGCCCCGCGTGACAAATTAAAACATAAGGTTCCATTCAGAACGAATAGATATTCCAATCACCATCCACGTAGTGAATAGTGCATCCAATGATCCCTTCATCGCGACAGTGGAAACTGACGACCCTCCATGGGCAAGGAACATCTCAGTGGTGTACAGAAACGTGCTGGCCACGGTGACCATGTCTCCGTCATGGAACCAAACTGTGGACCAATTCTTGCCGGACAAGCAGCGAAAAATAGACTCGGTCCAGTTTGCAAATGAGTATATGATTGGAGTAAGTTATGAAATTGACGAATATGGATGCCACATAAGCACTGAGCTTTACAATGGCGACGCCTATCACAGCATGCCACTAGCTCTCAACCTTGTCAACAATGACTTGCTGAAGTACCTTGCCGAAAACGAGTACTCCATGTCGGTCAACAACCACCCTTTGCCGTCTTACGGTCGCCACATGGATAACGATCTCATGGATGGCGAAGATGACGATAGTGGAAATGATTTATGGAAGTGGTGGCCCCCTTTGATCAGCGTGACCCACACGTGCATTTTCCTGTTTGCGATATCAGCACTTCTTGGATTTATTTCATAGAGTTCTTATCGAACATCCCACTTTTCATATGAAACAATCGTGATACACTCACATTTAACACAGTCCTACTCAGATTATTTAGAATGTTGCTCTCGTTAATACAAGTGAATTTCAACCCGAGGTAATTTTGTAAGTCAAGTCCGTATTTTCTACATACATTTTTTTACTTCAAGCATCGCATATGGACTACCTTTGTTACATACTCATTTCACAATTTAAAATCGTAAATAAATGGTTATTTGGACAGATGTCGCCCAAATAAGATTTCCTGTTTTAAAGGCGCCTATTCTGTCGTCCTGGAAGCTTTCCTCCTTTACATCGTTCCATACCGACTACTAGACGTGGTGGATATGGTGACGTCATTTTCCTATCCTGAAATAATAGTCTGGTGGCTTAGGGAAAAAAAATGGCCAAATCGTGACACGGCGGATAAAAGCACCAAATTTTGCATGTGGGTACCTTTTGAGATACTAAATCAAATAAGAGCCGTAGCCCACGGAAAAATGTTACCGTTTGGTCAAAAAATCCAAAATGGCCGCCAATTTGTGGAATTCTATAGAAATATATACATACCTATGTTGATTTTTATCAAATAAAGTATTTTCTCGATGTTTTCCACATCCTTATTACCCATATTATGCATATATGTCAAATAGCAAACGAGTTCCCTTGGACTTTTTGAAAAAATCCAAGATGGCCTCCATATGCCATAGAAACAGCCATAGGAATATAAGTGCACAACTAATGCCAGCTGTTGTCGACTATCAAATTAAGTCTGTTTCTGAGATTTTTTCACAACTTTGTTGCCCACATAATATGTGTGGTGAATAACTAGTAAGTGGGAAATTCCAAGATGGCTGCCATGTGCCACAGGAATACTAGTATACGGGAGTTCAATTAATGGCAACTGGAAAGATAATTTTCCACCATCAAATTAAGTTTGTTTCTGAGTGTTTTCTACATCCTTACCACCCTCATTATACAGACTTGACATTTAATATGGAATATTTCAGTTTTAAAGGTATACCTAGGTAAAAATACTTTCTTTTTTCAAAAAACTCAGATCTCACATAAGATATCTGACTGGAGAAGTATGAAGTCAGGTGTGTCGCTACCAATTAATTGACTACCAAGTCTGTTGCACTGCTGCATTGTGTAATATGCAGTGATTTAATTGTCTGGTGCTCCTTTGGGCTGGTCAAAGCTTGGCTTTGATGAAGCATGGTTCTGTCAAAAAAGTATCCATATGTCGGCAACTACTGTATCGAAGAATTTGAAATTTTGCATGCAAACGGTCTGTTTTGCAGTGCTTAAAATGAATTAAGCAGTGTTTTTTTAAAATTGTTAAGCTGTGCCAGAATGGCGCGAAAAAGACAGACATTGTCAGACAGATTATTGTGTCAAACGGAATGAATTGCACAGTTTTATAGGGTTATGCCCAGACTGATGCACCTACACAGAGACCACGCCCAATGTATCGACATCTTACCACCAGGTTACAGGACTCACTGTCCTTCAGGATATGCTGCTGCAATTAAACCGAAACCACCCAGTCCGTTTTGAATGAGGGGCAAATTGTCACCAAAACGCGTTTTTTTCAAGGCTCTTAGCGAACACCAAAATGGTTTCAGCAGGTTAGGATATCAGGCGACCTCTGAGGAAGCCACTGTAAACAGCTAAACAGCGTAGTCTGTTTCTCTAATGAATTGGGGACCCTGACCATTTTTGGGTAGAACACTGAAATCGCGTGGCTTTCTTTATTGAAGTCAGATTTTTCCCGTACCGCTAAAATGGTCCAAACAGAGTTTACAGACATCCTGAAGAGGCCTACGACAAGACGTGTGCCACTTTTTAAGTGACTAGGGTCATTGGAAACATCACTATTTGGAGTGGATACCACATTGGTGCCAAAACACTAATGGAAGTCATCGATGAAAAACTGAACCAGATCAAATAGAGGAATACTCTGGGAACCACTTGACCATCATTTGATAGGGGGCACCTTAGGAACAATTTTAGGTTGCACGATGAGATTGCCGGTTCACACAGAGCACTTTTAATAGCAGATAACTTACAGAACCAAGGGAATGAGCAGCTACCTTGGTCATCAAAATCGCCATATTTGAACCACATAGACAATATGTGGCTAGGTCATTACTCGCTGTATCAACGGCCTGTATGTCCTACAACAAAACTGAACCAAACTGACCAAGTCTTAACCATAACCTGGAATTTTATTCCAGATTAAACTCTAAAACCCATTCTAAGGAATGCCTTGTCGCTTGAAAGCTCTGGTAGCGGCAAGATGAGGTCCGGCGTAACAGCGATCATTGCTGTGACTAGACACCCACATGAGAGTCCTTTGTGGGGCTTGTAACTCTTTTAAAGACGATTATTTGGAAAATATGGAGATCGAAAATATCGCTTTCAATGGTTGTCGTATGACTTAAAATAGGCAATGTATTTTTGTTTGCTTCACTGGCGAATTCAATTAATGGACTCATGTCACAATAACATCGAACAGATTATCAAAAGTTTTTAAAACACGATTTTAATCCTTATTTTCATTTATCAGTCAGCAAAATAGGAAAAAAACTGATTAATTATGATTTGGAAAAAATATTCCATATTAAATGTCAAGTCTGTATGTGTGCGGTGACTAACTAACATATATTCTTGGGCATTTTTATTAAAATCCAAGATGGCCGCCATATGCCAAAAGAAATTTCTAGAAAGAAATTAGTAGTACAAAGGTTTGGAACTAATGCCAGCTAGGAAAAAACAGTGTCCACTATCAAATTCAGTTTGTTTTTCAGTGTTTTACACAGTATTATTACATTGTGATACATATCTAGCAGGTAATAAATGTGCATATTTGATCATTTTGAGAAAATCCAAGATGGCTGTCATTGGCTATAGGAATACTATTACAACTGCACATCCATGGTTTTTCATCTACTACCAGGGAGAAACAGTGTTTATTAAAAATTGTGTTTGCTTCATAAGTTTTGCCCATCCTTATTAGTCCTATGATATACTGGTGTATCTGGTGGGTAAATAGTGTGCATCCTTGGATATTTTGAGAAAATCAAAGATGGCTACAATTTGAGATACTCATAGGAATACTAATGGGTGGGTTTCAATTGCTGCAAGAGAGACATATGGTTCATTACACAATTACGTTACCATGGCTTTGTTCTAAAAATGATTGATGTTTTTACCATATATGATGTATACCTGGTCTGTAGCATGTGTTTATCTTTGGGCTTTCTGAAAAAAAATATCAATATGTCAATTTGTCATTAGAATATTCGTACACAGACTTCAAATAATGTCAGGGATACACAGAGTACATTTTAAATGTAGCTAACTTTAGATTGTTTTTAAATGTTTTTCATATCCTTTTTACCCCTATGAAAGACTCTGTGAGTGTAGAAAGTGGATGCATCCTTGAGTACTATTCCAGGAAAACCCAAGATACCTGTAGGTACCAGTTGCCATAGGAATATATCATTCAAATGCACATGGGTGACAATTAATGGAACAGTTCAGACATTGATTCCAACGTGAAAATAAAGCCGTTGATGTTCAAACATGTTCACATCCTTATTAACATTACTCTATATAAATCTTCATGGTGTGTAGCAAGTGTGCATCTTGCGTATTTGAGAAAATCCAAGATTGCTGCAATTCACAATAGGAATACAGTCAACTACTGAGAGACATTGGGTTAAAAGATTATTTTTTTCTCGGTATTTTCCACATTCTTTTTTTAACTTTGATATATATATATGGTGGGTAAAAAGTTTGTACCCTTAAGTATTTTGACAAAATATCACGATTACCTTCATTTGCCGTAGGAGTAACTATAAAATCCAATGTACCAGCCATCTTGGAATTCCCCAAATGATCAAATATGCAGATTTTGCTTTCAAAATGTAAAGGATACACATAACATTCTCATCACATATATATTATATGGATTAAAAGGATGTGGAAAATACTCAGAAACAAACCTTATTTATTAATTAATATTATATCTCCCCAGCAGGCATAGTTGCGTTGGATCAACGTTGAAAACAGGTTGATACGTTGAATTGCCGTTGATCTACCCAAATTCAAAGTAAAATCATCGTTGATCCAGCCACGTCAAAACACCGTCATAATGTGACATTGACTCAACGTTGTATTTTGGTCAATGACACAACCTTGCAGTTATGGATTGTAATTTAAAATATTAATTATTGAAAACGTGATACTTTGTTTATCAATTAATACAGTAACTAAATTTATCAATATAATAACAAAAG